CTTTCTTTCTTTCTTTTTTTTTTTTTTTTGAGACAGAGTTTCTCTGTATAGCCCTGACTGTCCTGGAACTCACTCTGTAGACCAGGCTGGCCTTGAACTCAGAAATCTGCCTGCCTCTGACTCCCAAGTGCTGGGATTAAAGGCGTGTACCAACACTGCCCGGCTTGCTGGCCTAGTCTTAACCTTGCTGTGTAACTCTGACCAAATCAGATGACCTCAGGGTAGACCTGTCAGTTGTGTGTGTGGTAGAGGTAGACCTGGGGGCCTCATGCATGCTGAGCAAGAACTCTATAACTGAGCCTTTGTTTTTTAAGACCGAGTCTCACTAAATTGCCTGTCTTCATAAACTTAGTACAATTTTATATCCCCAATATCTCACCACAAACTGAAATAAAGCTAGAAAAATATTTGAAATTTCCTGAGTGAAGTTTTCTTCCCTTACATAAAGAAGAAGTTTGGGGGGGTTTGTTTGTTGTTGTTGTTCATTTGTTTGTTTTTCATTTTCTTTTCTTTTTTAAAGACAGGGTTTTGCTGTGTAGCCCAGGCTGTCCTTGAATTTGCAGCCATCCTCCTGCCTTAGCTTCCTCAATGCTAGAATTGCTGGTGCAAGCCACCACACCGAGCTTTCATTCTCACTATTAACTGAATTTCCTCAGAGTGTTCCATTGTTTCATGCAAAGAACAAAGTTGTGTGTTCTGGGAGCTTTCTTTCACACTTCCATGTCCTTTCCTTCTGCCTTTAAGGCCCTTGAGTTATGTATCTCAGAGACATAGGGCTTGTAGCTCAATCTTGTAAAAGATGCTTTCTTTCTCTTGCAGAAGCCGTTCTTTTGCCATTTGCCCTTCTGAAACTATAAATTTGCTTCTCTTTCTTTCGTAAACTTCTAGTTTACTTCTTTAAGCATTGGACCCTGTTGGTTATGTGAAGTTTTACATTGAAATGATTCCTGGGACAGGTAGAATTTTGAGAGTGAAGTCAGTGTGATATGAATGCTAATAGGTTGGTCATCATATCACAGGCTACAAATAGTGGGTGGAAGAAGCCAGTAGACGCTGGGCAGTGGTGGCGCATGCCTTTAATCCCAGCACTTGGGAGGCAGAGGCAGGCAGATTTCTGAGTTCGAGGCCAGCCTGGTCTACAGAGTGAGTTAGTTCTAGGACAGCCAGGACTACACAGAGAAACCCTGTCTTGAAAAAAAAAAAAAAGAGAGAGAGAGTGAGAGAGTGAGAGAGTAAGAGGGTAAGAGTGTAAGAGAGTAAGAGATCGAGGAGGGGGCAAACAGCCCCTTTTATAGTGGGCAGGCCTACCTGGCTGTTGCCAGGTAACTGTGGGGAGGAGCAACAGCCAGGTAACTATGGAGGTAGAGTTTAGACAGAATACTAACAACCAAACCTCCATTTAACACGGTTTGTTTGTTTGTTTGCTCTCTGTGTAGCCCTGGCTATCCTGAAACTCACTATGGAGAACCAGGCTGGCATCATACTCAGAAATCATCTTGCCTCTGTTGAGAATAATGACATATACCACTCACCATGCCCAGCTCTTGAAAAAATGCATCTTGGAGAGAAATGTGGCTTAACTCTTCATACCCCAAACCATAATTTTAGTAACAACTAATCAGAAAAGTTGATATTTTTGTTTAATATATTTGAACCAGAATGAGTTTGCCTGGAATCACCTGGGTTAAGAGACTGCCCAGGGATACAGTTTAGTAAAATGACTAAACTATGATGGGTTGTAGTGAAAATTTCATGAACCAAAGGAATCATACTGTTTTTGCTTGTTTTGTCTTTGTTTTTTTGAGACCAAGTTTCTCTGTGTAGTCCTGGCTGCCCTGGAACTCACCCTGTAGACCAGGTTGGCCTTGAACTCAAAGATCTACCTGCCTCTGTCTCCTGAG